CCGTCTTCTTTCGCCGGGAAAACAAGTGTGGGCACGTCAGTGACGTCGTGTGCGGTCCTCTCCCACCTCTTACTAGCGGCATTAAGCCTGCTTGAATCTGGAAACGCTTCATCGATTTTGACCTTTTCGTACTCATTAAAAATCAAAATGTAGCTGGCCCTAAAAGACGAACCATATACACTGCCGAGAGTCCTGATCCTTGCCGTGTGTGGGTCCGCAGCTGCAGTAGCGTGCCTTTTCTCTAGTCAAATGTGCACGGGAACAGGGCTGGAGGGTAGTGACACCACACCCGTCTCTGTACTCCGCCCGCGGTGCTGCACGGCCAGCCACAAGCCTAATCATAGCCGAACGCGCTGTTCGTCTGCGCCCTCTTGCTTCTGCTAGTTGTCTGCTGCTGAGTGCGTGTTTCATTGCGCGACTGTGGTATCTATGCAAGTGCTGCGGGAACAATGTGGGCGGAGTATGGAGATGGCACTCGGATACCGCTACCCTGCAGCCGATTCCCTGGCATTTTTCTGCAGAGAAAGTGGCACGCTACGACTGCTGCAGTTGGCCTGCTAGATGGGCCACCCTGTGAAGAATACTGATTTTCAGGGTGGATATCGTCCTCGGCGAGTTTCTATCTCTCAGTACGAGCAGCTGAGCGCAGCTGCAGCAGAAGGTTTGAAAAGGGAGGTGAGTATTGTTCATCTTGACTTCTTGCTTGTCCTTAAGGACTGACCCCGCGCTCAATTAAAGATTCCTTCCTTACACAAGATTCATTATGCGTAATCGCAGAGATTGTTCCACTTTCGCAGCTCCACAATAAGTGACGAGGGCGGTGAGCCATCATAATTTGAGGTTATATACGGTACAACGTATGGTATGGTAGCGCCCTTGTCACGCATTGCGAAGTCGCGAAAATGGGACAGCCTTTGCGATTACGCACCGGACCACCCGGTCAAGGAAGGAATCCTGCGAACTGGTTGAGTGCGAGGTCTCTCTTTGGCACGCTTTCTCTTTAATGCTGATTCCTCTTATATAAGTATCCATCCCCTTTATTGTTCAGAGTTCCAAGTCCTCAGGAGCAATCGGTGTGAAATTGCCTCAACAGTATCGTGCTAAAACTCCTACGACAAATCTTTCCAAAACAGAGGTAGGTATTCTTTTTTTCATTAGAACTACATCGTTGGAATTAGTTTTGAAACTTTTCAGCATGCCGTCATTTCTCCAGCGAGCAGTGTTGGAGTGTCTCCTCCATTGCGCTCGCCTCCACGTACCTATGAGACGACGCTAGCATCACCTCATACGAGGACCGTATCATCACCGCCACCTGTTATACCATCGAAACGTCATCGGCGAGTTCAGGACGAGAAAGCGTGCCATTAGTAACTCCTGGATCGTCTGCCCCAGTACCTGCCACTATATACCTCGCGACCCCGAACGAAAAAGTTGTTCCCAGCTCTCAACACCTCGTATCTCCACCGGTATGTTGTAAAAGGTTCTACAAAACGTTATGTAGGGGTTTTTGTCTATTGAAATGATTTTGCTGTCCATATGCAACCAAAGGTCCTTCGCGAAAGTTCACAGGATGGCAGTGTGGAAGTTGTTAGTAGGCGTTTTTATGGCATCCCTTGAGCTCCCAAAGCTCAGGAGTTGGCTTGGCTCGCTACTCGGTTTTTACAGCGGCACAGTTGTCTGGCTGAAGGTTGGAGTTCCTCGTGCTGTGTGGGGTTTGCAGTGTATCAACCTGTAGGGTCAGCGCGCTTACCTGTAACAAAATTCCAGAAAAAGACGACAAGGTGTTGTTTGGCCTAGTGAGTCTTGCTGGTTCTCGTCTGTGTGGATGGTTCTGCAGCTGCAGTAGAGTGCCACTTTCTCCACTCAAAATGCACGCGAACGGGCGGAAGGTGATCATACCCTGGTGCCAACTCCTTGCTCCGTCGCGCGCTGTTGCAAAGCCAGACAGACGCCTAGCTTTATCCAGGTACTCCAGCTGTCTGCCCCTCTTCTGGTTTTTCTCTTTCGTTCTGGGACTTGGCATCGCCGCAGGTGCTTCACGTTGAGGACAGCGCGGGCAGAGTATGGAGCCAGCACCAGGTAATCGCTACTCTCCAGCCTCGTTGCTGTGATTTTTTTCAGGGGAGAAAGGTGCTATTGTAACTGGGTATCTGTTCGCCTAGCACGGTGCAAGGACCGCTCTCAGGGGAAGTGTACAGTGTACCCTTGGTATGTGGGTTATCAGGCCCCCGGCTGTAAGCACCGCCGGAACATGCGTGGAATGAAGCGCCAGGATCGCGATATAGGTAAAATCTCCATCCTAAACCTTGAAAGCCACTTACGCCGCAGACAGGCTACACGCCGTTACCATATCCAGTGGCTCATCTGCTCCGACCGGCGTCGGCACAACGCGTCTCGCGTGCAGCGTTTCTGGCTTTTTGCCACGTCCCGTAGTTTGCGCTCTCGAATACGAGTGAAACGCTAACTCCTGATGATGATGACAACTGAGGCGTTGCTCATGCAGCGAACTCTGAATAAGGTGATGACAAGGGCCTGAACTGAAGAGCAAAAAGACTAGATCAGGAGTTCGCGTTTCAGTCGCATCCGAAAGCGCCCACTACGAGACTTAGCAAAGTGCCAGAAGCGCCGTGTGCGACACGCGTTGTGCGGACACCGGTCGGAGCAGATGAGACCGGGATGTAGTAGCGGTGTGCAGCGTGTCTACGGCGTGAGTTGCTTTTAAGGCTGAGAATGGGGAATTAGCCTTCCTGACGGTCTTGGAGCTCCATCACCGCGCATGTTCGGGCGGGGACCACCAGAAGGGCCTGTTAATCCCGCACGCGCCTAAGATACACCTCGCAGGTGAGAGTGCGTTCTTTCTTCAATTTTGATCGCTGCCCTCAAGCGACCTATTGTTACACTTGAGTGAACCTTCATGGGAATGAAAGAGGAACTAATTATAGTTGTTCAGATCTCATTGGAAGAAGTTTCCAACAACTATGAATTCTCCTCGAAGCTGATTACATCACCGGAACATGCTGGTTAGTGCTTAAAAATAGTTTGATCTGTTTACAAGTGAGAAACAAATACATTCACAAATATTGCCTATTTATAAATACAAAATAATGGCTCTCATCAATTTCACCCTAATGTAGTGCTGAGGTGTAGTATGGGGAAGAGGTTTTTAATGCATGATCGGTTTGTTGCCTATGTTCTACTTGGCTTGTACGCCCTCCTTTTATTGCTTCCCTCCGCATTTAGTTAGTATACCTAACGGTTTATGTTTTCTTTTGTTTCGGTTTGATTTGCCAGCGGTTTGATTTGCCTTCGAGCGGTTTGATTTGCCTTTGAGTTGGTATGCTTCTTAATATTCATGTTCTTTTTTGTTGTCGATGGTCTTTTTTGCTAGCGATGGTGCACGGTACAAGTGCTTTAGTAAACAAACAAACAAATAAATACGAAATAGAATAAACAAGTACAAAAAGGAATTCAATAGGTATGAGTAATATATGTAGAACTTGGCGCAATTTCCTCATATTGTACAGGTTAGCTTGTTGGCCGGCTTTGAGTTGTAAGAAGAAACCTTCATAGATTGTTGGGGAAAATTGCAGTGCAAGAAGTTTACAAAGACTTCAACACATGACGGGCAATACGAGTGCAGCGTGGAATACCTGGAACTTGGTACATTCCATTGTTTCGTGAACGTATTGAACATATAGGAGAGGTTGTAGTTAGTAAGAAAGCATGTTAACAAGCGTTGCGACTAACACTCGTTGTACTTTAGTTGCCTGCCTCGAATACTGGAGCACATGTCACTTCAATCAAATAGGTCCTCACTTACAAAGTAGAATAGGTCTTGTGCGCATATAAGATTCAACGTGAACACAAATTGCAAAAAACCCCCGGGGCCGGCTCTCACGCACATGCAGTAACATGGAACTCCATAGGATAACATTAGGAAACGGAAGTTCATAAGAGTGTGCGCACTGGACGGAAGTTACAGTGCTTAGTATTTTCCAGCATCAAGATTGCATCTTTAATTGTCATGTTTTTGCAAGGTCTAAGCGCCCTAGGACAAACTTTCTCGATACTGACGTATCATCAATGCACGTAAGTCAAATCCATGTCGTAGAAACACAAACGGAGAGGGTTTTGTTTCCACTTGAGAAGCAGATTCCTCCACAGTTTCCGTTCACGCGCGAATGCGTACGCCTTCCCCACTCGGCTCGACTGCGTAATTTTCGAGAAGATTCGTATAGATGAGTAGATATTCTTCAGATGGTAGGTTATTGTTTGGTGATAAAAAGGTTCGCTACACCAAGATACGAAACGGTTGAGGAGGAAGGTCCGTTCTTGAGATAAATTTCTTTGGCGACGCCCAGGTTTACCCTGCGATATACAATACTTACGCTCACGGCGATCTCATTCTGAAAGTATTTGAATAGGTGGCGCAGTTCGCCTTGGAGAGGGCGTAGAGGTGGAGGGGGCATTCATTGGATTTCCGCTTCGCAACTAGTGCTACTTAAGAATACGAGAATTTTCGCCCGATCCTAGAGAAGGAAGGGAGTTCAGCGGTGGGTAAACCACTTTCTTGGATGTCTCTTCTAGGCGGACAGTGCTGAGTAGGATTCGAAGTTAAATGCGTTTATCCGTTTAATAATGAGCAAAAACCTTGCCCTTTATCCGAACTTATTCCAATTTTTTTTCTGAAGATCCTCGAAGTTATCGCAAAATATCATCTCATTATCAAGAGAATGCTGATGTTCATTGAACAAAAGTCTGACGCTCAGGGTGTGGACTCGAGGACGCGCAACTCTCACGCAGCTTCCGTGTGTGTGCTGTCCGTTACGCCACCAGGGTCACTCTTACCCTCTCAACTTTACGCCTTTCATGCCTTAGCCTCTGCAGCACTCACACGATTTACGTGGTGAGCCGTCAGGTTGTCGGCAGATATCGGCAAATAGCACTAACTGCGGCGTTAAGCAGCAATTATCGTAAGCAGACAACTGCAATATATTATTTTATGTACTGTTGTTCCGGAAATTTGCGTTAATTCTCACTTATGTATACGAAATGGTTCCTAGAAAAAAGTGTATGTTCTCATATCTTTCGGAGAGATGGAGTTTACGATTCAGGATTCTACCATATTCTCCAAAGGCCACAAACGGGCTGGTCAGAGGGTATTTTGGACTCCCATTTCATCCGTTTGACTCGAAAACGCCTACCGCCTGCGCTGCAGGGGCCGGTACCGACACGGGTCTAAAGCAGCGGCGCGTTTAGAGCGTGCCATGCATTTAACACTGATTGGTTCATATCTGTGCTCAGATGGTCACAGTGCGCTTGGGTGCAAATTTCGATGGGAATCATGCCCAGTTTTCGCAAAGTGGGCAGCAGAGTAAATGAATGGTGTCAAGATTTCTTCCTGCTCATCCTAATTTCTCTTGTTCAAAACGAACACTTCACTCAACTCCGTGGATCCTGATCCTTGCCGTGCCTGAGGTGAATGGATCCGCAGCTGCGGTGGCATGCCAAACTGTACGAGAACGTGGCTGGGAGGGGTACGAATACCCGGCTGCCGCCTCCATACTCTGCCCGCTGTGCCGTACGAGCATTCACGCGCCTAAGCATAGCCGAACGCGCTGTTTGTCTGCACCCTCTTTCTTCCGGTTGTTCTTTACCGTTGAGCGCGTATTTCACTGCGATGATGTCGACGCAAATGCTGCACTTCGAGGTGCTGGCGATGTATGGAAACGGCCCTCGGGTGCCACTATCCTACGGCTTTGTCCCTGGGCTTTTTTCGAGGGGAGAAAGCGCGTGCTAGATTAGCTGACTCCAGCTATTCGCCTCACACATGGCAAGAACCATCCTCGGAGGAGAGTATACACTTTCTCTCTGACCCTTTTGTTAACAAAGAAACAGATTTGCCGATAATTCCAGATTGTGATCGATGCTTTCCGGATAAGACCCCTATTAAGGACAGTGTTTCTTCGTCTTGTAAGGAACCGCCGCCGAAAGAGAAGAAAAAACCATCGAAAGGTGAGCTTCCTCTCAAATGTGACTGTTTCTCGTTCAGTGATTTTGGTTTCAGCTGCGGCGGCTAAACAGAAAGCGTCAGTTGACGATGCGGAGATGGGATGTGTGGTCACGGCTCATTGCTACTTTGAGCTTTCGGCACAAAATGTACCAGATGGAGGAGCTCTCGAAGGATCGCCAGTTGAGGCAGTCACAGATGAACACTTGAGGAAATCTGTCGCATCGGTGGAGTACAGCTGTCCACACAGAGAGATCAAGGAAGAGGTGGAAGTGAAGGCTGAGAATGGTCAGTTGTTTTTAAAGGCACATTCCGCGATAAAATAAGGCTATGACCTCTCAAATGTGTCGGACGATCCGGAAGGCGATTTTTGAGGCTGCGCTACTTTCAAAATGTGAAAAACGGCAAGAACTCCGCTAGAAGCTGACTAATTAGGCCCATGGACACCCCTTAGGCCCATGCGGGTCAGTAGAAAATGGGACGGTTGACCTCGTTAATGACTTGTCGCACCTACGATTCGAGGCATAATTAACGAGGTGCGAAGGGACGTCATTATGAGGTGCGAAGCGACCTCATTAAGCCGAGGCACGCACGAGCTATCAAGATCGTAACAAAATTGAGTGAAAACTCTTAAAAGAACAGATTCAAAAAAACGTGAAGATCTTCCAAAGGGAAGAAGGTTTACAAAAAAGTAATGCAATAAAGTAAATGCAATAAAGCAATAAAGTAAATGCAATAAAGTCCGTTTTCAGGGTTTCCTCAGACGTCGTCTCCCACACCTTTGTATGTAACACCGCCCCACAATTTTTATCCGGTACCAGCACCTTCGTATGACGTAGGGCTTGTATCACCATGCACATTTCCTCCCGCACTAGCACCTTCTCACTTCGTCGGTCAGGAGCCACCATACTGCGTTACGCCAGCAGTGGGAACATCCTACTACGTACCCAAATAGAGTCCTACTGCAAAAAGATGTCCCAGTTTGTTACGAACAAAACTTTATGACACATTTTTATTCGATTTGCTTACTTGTTTTTGTTTGAATTGTAATAGTAATAATAACAAATAATAATAAACTAATAAATAGCTGAAATATATAGCAACCTTTTTACCCTCTTAAATTTTCGATGAATTCATGCCATGAATTTGGATAGCTTAATAACTTCTCCTCTTACCGAGGCCAACCGCAGTTAGCGCGACGTGCCTCGGCTTAATGAGGTCGCTTCGCACCTCGCTAATTATGCCTCGAATCGTAGGTGCGACAAGTCATTAACGAGGGGTCAACCGTCCCATATTTCCACCTACCCGGCCCATGCCGACCCTCACCGGCTGCTAGCTACTAGCTAGTAGCCACTATGTTATCTTTCTCTATAACATTTCGGACTGCTTTTTCTGCTGCTTTTCTCCGCTAATCAGATACTTAGCACTTTTTTGTGCCTATTTGAGTTCCGTTTCCCGCAATTTGCGGTCGCGAACTGTGCCTTTAAGCTTCCTGAGGCCTAAAAAACAAGTTTTCGTATCTTGAGTATACACTGGTGGCAGCTAACTCTCTTCATTATAGAAGCTGTAGTTCCGCAAACACCGACACAAGACACAGAGTCTGATGCGGAACCTTCCGGTTCGGGGACTCCTCTGAGGACAGACGGGGAAGGTGAGTTTCTTGGCTCAGGGCTATATTCCTATTATACATAATTTGCTGTTTGTCTGTCTTTGTCCAGAAATTCGATTCTAGCAGTGGAGAGGTCGGGTCAAGGCTGGGATAGTTAGACATGGGACAACATGGAACAAAATATAAAGAGTACAGGGGACCTTTGCTAAGCCTCGTCCAGTGTGGGCGGAGCACGCCCGAAAGTGAGCGGTGTCACGGACAAAAATTCGTGATTCTTTCCAAGAGCATTTTGCCATCTCCAGACTTTCGAGAACCGAGTTTCTTAGTATCATGGGAAGCTCCGCCCTCCTCGGATACACCCCGCCCATTTCAGACGTGTCTCCCACAGTGAGTCGGTCAACCCCTTGTTGTATATTGATGCTCAGAGTGTTTCGTAGTGCGGTCCACGGTGACTGTAAGACCCGAGTCAGGTCTACTTTTCAGTCCTCATTTGCCACCCCCCCCTCTTTAGCGCAAAAGGAGGGGGAATCTAATCAATCAAGAGACATAGTGGTAGGACTGACTTCACCCATATGATCGGCAAGAATTGTGCTCCCTTCAACCCGATAACACATAATTCAGCGGTATGTTAAATCTGTAATGTTGGCGCTACTATAGGAAACTGGAACTCAAAAAACTTAATTCTCAAGGTGACTAAGACTGCACCTGTAATTTGCTCGTTAAGACAATGACAAATGGTCAACGTCGGATAACCAGTCAGCTGGCGGAGGCCGAATGATGTCGCCAGGTCGTGGACGTGGATGTAAACGGAAAAGGTAAGCCCCACAGTATGCCTTTTAGGGCTCCTTTAATAGTAAATGAGTTGAGAAGTAGGCATAAACGTGCTGTAGACAACACGTGCGATAAACAGCGGTGTATATTGTTATCTTACAGCCTAAAACGTAAGGTAGTAGGAGGGCACACGTCTCTAGCTATTTATCCTACACGTGTTAAATGGTAAAATCTCTGCGAGTGCGGGCCTGGCTACCAATACACGGAAGCATCACAGATCCTTTGATCGCGGTAATCTTCAAAGGCACAGTCCGCGATAAAAACCTAGGTGATGTTGCAGAAATGTGGAAGAAAATTTGCCAAGTGAACCATCTATGAAGAGAAAATGCCAAAGGGAACGTTGGAAACGCATTCGTCAGGCCTCCTCTAGCCTCAAACAACTGTAGAGAAAAGACCGCGCTGGGACAATTCCCGTCGGCTGATTCCCAGTAATGAACCCTATGACTCTACAAGAGACATTGAATGCATCCACTCCATGATACTTGCCCGGGAGCATTACTTTTGGCTGGAAGGCCGACTTTGGAGGCGGAGTCTGGAGGCGGAGTCACTGGAAAAAGGGATGTACCACTGGAAGCGCCTTAATCCCTTTACCGTACAACTTTCCGCCGCGAAACTGGCACAGGGTTGTCCACTCCGGACCGCACTACCTTCCCACATAACCTCTTGCATTTTCATAGGTCATCGCGGACCGCTCCTTTAAAGTAGAAGCACACAACGTATCGGAGCCCTTTCTGGCTACCCCTGGCATTCTATTACTATTCGGGATTATAATGATTTCCGAGCGCAGCTTGGCCTATACACTCAATTTTGGGGGCTTGCTTGTGACAAGAAAGGTTTTGTAGTCCCTGAACCGCTGCTTCTCCAACCGAGGCGGTTGCGAGAATATCTTCCTCTCCCTATGCTCAGGACTAGCGCGTGAAGAGTCCTGTGCTTAGCCAACGACGGAGTCAGTGGGTGAGAGGAACATCACGCCGGTTCTACCCGAAGCCACTTCACATGACATTTAAAACTATCTCGAAATCGCGAAACTGAACCAAGCGCGCGAAATACAGTTCCTCGATTGCGAAATCCATCTTGCTGTACGTATCTCAGAACTTTAATCTTGAAAAGTGTGGTACCAATTGATCAACCGCGGAGGGATAGGAGGCTCGGGTGGCTAAGGCAAGAGTTTCTCTCCGAGACCCCCAGGTCCTGATGCCAACTGTCACAACAGTTTGACCACCCCCCCCCCTCCCTGGTTTGATCCCATAGAAGATAGATAGATGACGAATACTTTTATGCAACTAGGGAAGACCCATTCCCTTACGGATGTAGTGGTCCGTAGAGCCCTCCCATAGTAGCGTTACTGTTGAAATGCAAAACAAGTAAAACCATGTTTTTCATCGTTAGACACGTTAAATCTCGTTAGTAGGTGGGCATTATTAAAAATTTGCTCGAACGGTGCAGTTGTCGAAATATGCGGTGCAGAAATAGGTGCGTCCTTTGGTTATTCCTCTATCATTTGATACGGTACACGTATATGTAGTTATGCTGCATTTTGCACTTTGAATCAGATAGATATGGTCTGATCCCTGCGGGTGATGGGGCGTGTCGAGCGGCTGCGCATGACGCGGCGCCATTTTTCTTTTTTTTCTTCCGTGAAGTGGCAGAACTGCATCATATCTTCCGTATCAGTCGTTTTCCAGCAGTTATTGTAACTTACAACAGCTGGTGAAGAATGCGACTGCGAAGTTTTACAGCATGCCAAACGCGGTCACGCGGACACGCCCCATCATCGGCAGCGAACCGTATCGTAGATAATAACTCTTTAGTTTATGTAAGAAACTGTGGGCAAATACGCACGTTTTGTTGGCCGTGAAATACTTTTCCACGTCTTTATTTTTCCACTTGGTAAACGTAGGCAAACAGTTTCAAAGTGGCAAATCAATAGATATTGCGAAATTCTGGGAGAAGTACCGATATGTCTAGTTCGCGCCTCAGATTGCTCTTGCCTGTTAAGCGTACTTGTTCGACATTTAAGGGTTTATGATACTTGTACATGTGGTTTACTGTGGTTGATTATGTTGTCTAATGATCTGATATGATACAGTAATAATCTTCTTCCACTTCAGAGCTCCTTACAATCGCCACAGTACCATGGTAATTGATCGGAAATATATTCCGAACGAAAAGTGGCAAAGAAGATCGAAATGACGATTCGTATGGGGAAGAAGAAGAGGAGGAGTGTATGTCTCTTCTATTATATGCCATTAATTTTTCGCTCGGAATAGAGGAAAACCCTGATGATTTCAGCGACTCGCGACACATTTATTTCAATGAAGAATAAAACTCTTCGACTGATGGAACAGGAGGGATCACTGGATAACTTCGATCTTTTGGGATTACCTCCACTGGGTAGGTACTTCTCCTTATGATGCCTCTTTGAAGATGAATATGTCACAGATTTATCTGTAGCAAAGAAATATTAGATGTTGGAGGAAGAATAAAGGTACTCAAATTAAATATGAACTACGCTCTTCTTGAAGAAAAGCGTATCAAAACACAGGAAAAAAAGTAGGGATAATTGGGTGGGCGGGAAGTCGTGACCTTGAAAGACGGGCAAGAGAATCGTAATTTGCCGCTCCGCCGCGCGCGGCGATGGCGCGGCGTTTTCTTAACTCGTTAACCTGTCGATTGGAGCACCGGACTTCATGTAGACCCCGTCATCGTAGACATTCATGACTATTTTCGGTTCTGAATTGCCTGTTGTCGCCATCTACTACCTGGAACCATCGTCATTTGCGGGCGCGACGTCGCACGCGACGCCCACCAGCGCGGTAAATTACGATTCTCTTGTCACATACCCCAAAATCCCTGGTCCATTGGGGGTTCCCCAACGGGGGAGATCGTATTTGGTCGCTGGGGGGGGGCTGTTTGGTCTGAGAAAAAAATTTTTTGTTAATTGATTTTTCTTGTTTTCTTGTTTCAAAAACACTACAAAGAGGAGGGGAGAGGGCGCTTTTGGACTTCTGAGAGGGATTGTTGACTTGATTATTAGTGGTCTTTCTTGTTTCCCATTTGCTATGTACTCCCCGGCGGAGCCAGGAAGCGACGTCATTGGTGCGCTTCTCGTCTTGACGCCTTTATGAATAATATAGAGGAGGGACGCGCCAATTGCGTCTTCTCTTGGCTCCACCTACCTTGCTATCACGAGTGGTGTATTTATGCATTCTAGAGCGACTTATCATAGGCACAGTTCATACTTTGCGATAAGAGTGATGCACTCAGCGACTGCGGTTAGTCGCGCTCCTACGCTTGTTGTTGTACTGCGGCAAGTGCCCGAGAGAAGTCCTCCCCCGGATGGGAGTAAACGATCAGATACGGCAATCCAAAAATTGTGGTGGAACGCGGTCGGTCGCATTCGTGTAAGGCTGCGTTTATACTTTGCGGCAGCGTAGCGTAGCGCTTCCAGCGTACGCCAGCGGCAGTGCCGGGGAGAGGATGCATATCGATCTAGCGTTCCCAGCGTCACCAGCGTAACGCTAGCGTACGCCAGCGTTTCACCAGCGTTTTGCTAGCGTTTGCAGCGGCAGGGGAGTAGAGACTATGTGGCCGTCAGAGACGCGCAATCGATGTGTATTGTAGAGACTGAGGGCGAGTGAGAGACGCGCAATCGATGTGTTTTGTACCCTCCAGCTCTTAGTCTCTACTCCCCTGCCGCTGCAAACGCTAGCAAAACGCTGGTGAAACGCTGGAGAAACGCTGGCGTAACGCTAGCGTACGCTAGCGTGACGCTGGTGACGCTAGATCGATATCCATCCTCTCCCCGGCACTGCCGCTGGCGTACGCTGGAAGCGCTACGCTACGCTGCCGCAAAGTATAAACGCAGCCTAATATCTTGTGTGTTGCCATGCCTCCCCTCCCCCCACCTTGCGGTAAACCATTTTTTATTTCTTTCTGCAACTTTAGAGCAGTGTGCATGTGATCTGTGGAGTAACTTTGTTTACTAACTTACAGGCGTGGAAGCATACAAGGAGGCGTGGCGCCAGTTGAAGCGTTATCGCGGGAGAGACATTTGGCCACGCCCTTCAACATACTGATGGTGGTGGTTCGACGCCTTTTCCCCGATGAAGCTTGAAGTGGTTCCGCTCATAGGGGGGCTCGAAGCCATTGAGCTAAGAGGGTAAGGGCGGCTTCAGTGGCGCAAAGGATAGCGCATTCTCCCGGTCAGCGGAAGATGCTAAATCGGTAGTTCAAGTCTGGCTTTTACCAAAAGCTTAGCCTTCTCTTGTTATGTCTTGCAACCTTTCGGAGCACAAACTGCGGCGTCAAAAAGCAGCTTCATACCGAAGCAACTTTGAAAAAATGACGAGGTGCTATTTTGCTTCAGGCGATCTCTCCCTTGCAACAGATGATGCTATCGAAATTCTCGAGAAGCGTCTGAGCGAGCTTCGTGAGGTTTACCATCAGTCCAAGGCGGAACTACTTTTGATGGAGAAAAGAAGGCGCAAACGCGCGGAAAAGAGACGTGAGTTGCAAGCTGCAGTGTTTCCGATTGGTTTTGTCACTGGGCTATGTTGAACGGCTTTACATTCTGGCTGGTTTTTTCAGGAGAGCGGGAACGCGCATGTCGTGAAGCGATGGCAATAGATAAGTAGCAGTACAACTGTTCCAGATCTGGATGCCCTGGATGGCAATGATTCGACGTCATCGATTTCTAATGAAATGATTGTATATTTAGATGTTTGTGTTTCTCATATAGGTTGTGCCAGCTCTAATTGTATGACAAATGAATACATATAATAACAGCATGTGATGAACATTTGAGTTGTGACATGCTTTGCAGGGAAGCTTGAACGCATAAGGCATGATAATTTTGTACTCGGCCTAAAATGGTCGCCGTGGTGTTATATGGTGGGGAAATGGAAAAAGCGAAGTGAAACTGTCAAAAATCTGCAAAAAGGCCTTTGTTCTATACGAGTCAGAGAGAAATTTCGGACGAGTTCTTCGTTAGCATTGTGCGACCAGCAACGGTGGGTATGTGACAAGAGGATCGTGCTGAACTCACCGCCCGCTGTGGTGGGCGTCGCGAGTGAGAGTAGAGATGGACAAACTGTAACTTTCGGTAACCCAGACACACACCACCTCGCTTTGCGTAGGTGATGCCAAACACAAAAAGTTGTGGCCTCCGAGGCGGTCTTAGCGTTCGTACCTTGCGCCACGCCGCGCTCAGAGCACCATTAGCGAGTTCGTGACAAGGATCAGATACGGAAGGATTGACCTCTGATTCCTCAATTGGGCGGAGTTAGTCGATGCACGTGGAATTTTTTCGGAATTTCCCCGATTTTCCAAGAAACCAACGTGTGAAAGAGACTTCCTAGAGTAAAAGCCTTTCTGCTTTGCCAGCAGCGGCTAGGCGACGGCTCGAAGGCAAGTGGCATGTATCCCCATGATGTGTGAGATTAACACGCTTAAGATAGAATTGAGCGCCCCTGAGCAGGCGCTGCAAAGCGCCTTTCCGAGGAATGTACCTTTGTAGCGCCCTATCAAGCTCCAACATACCGACCCAGACGCCCACCCACAAACGACGACCAATGCTGATGTCCCTTCATTTGCGGAGTACAATGGGAAAGGGATTGGTATGAATCGCTGCGTGCTGCAGTGGATATATGAGTCACTATAGCACCCGCCGTGATCTACGTCGCGTTGGTTGACGCGCAGAGAATCGTAAATTTGCCGTGTGCGCCGCGCGCGGCGAAGCGGGCACCTTTCCGCGTAGTTGATGTAACTTGGTCGGGGCCGGACTTTATGGACACCCCGCATCGTATACATTCATGACTATTTCCGGTTCCGAATTGGCTTTTGTCGCTAACCACTACCTGGAACCACCGTCTTTGCGGGCGCGAGGGACGGACGGACGGGCAAATCACGATTTTATTTGCCGGCGTTCTCGCCAACGACGGTAGATACGGCGGGTGCTATGTACTCATATATCCATGCAGCACGCAGCCGATTCATACCAATCCCTTTGCATTGTACTCCGCAAATGAAGGGACATCAGCATTGGTCGTCGTTTGTGGGTGGGCGTCTGGGTCGGTATGTTGGAGCTTGATAGGGCGCTACAAAGGTACATTCCTCGGAAAGGCGCTTTGCAGCGCCTGCTCAGGGGCGCTCAATTCTATCTTAAGCGTGTTAATCTCACACATCATGGGGATACATGCCACTTGCCTTCGAGCCGTCGCCTAGCCGCTGCTGGCAAAGCAGAAACAGGCTTTTAACTCCAGCAGAAGTCTCTTTCCACAACGTTTTCTTGAAACGAGACTCCGAAAAAATTCCATGTGCATCGACTAACTCCGCCCAATTGAGGAATCAGAGGTCAATCCTTCCGTATCTGATCCTTGTCACGAACTCCCCTGTGCTCGGAGCCGGGTGGCGCAAGGTACGAACGGGACCCTCGGAGCCACAATTTTTTGTGTTGCCATCACCTGCGCAATAGCGAGGTGGGTGTGTGTCTGGGGTTACCAAAGTTACAGTCTGTCCATCCTCCTCCTAGACTCCTAGAAGAGTAAGTAAGACGCTTTTAGATCCTATAAGTTAAAACAATTCAACTCAATCCTATACCATGCTGCAAAATGAGGATCCAAAGGTAAACATAGAACGCGAAAACGACAGTCATGAATAAGTACTGAGGCGCATCTGCGAGGCAGGGCAGAAGCACTCAAGTATTTCCTGATGTGTATGGTCAAACACCTGTCTAATGATGCGGTATCATGATCGTTTGAGCAAATTCGCGAAAGGTTCTTAGAATTTGACTGTGAAGTAGGCGTCGTGGGGCACCCGCGGGCTTAATGAAAAGCAGCACTACTATGCAGAAGCTTTTAAGCCTATCCCAATAGGATACAGGTGGCGCCTCAGCTGAAAATGTGGATGGAATTTCCATGACTTCTGCTGATCACTCATTATCTGGAGTAAACACTTTTGAACAAGGTGGGTCAGTAAGCTCTCAATCGAACTAGGAGGGCGTCCGGTGCGACGCTCGTCTGCGAACTCGGAAATAAATTATTTGAATTGTTTGAACCAACCCTGACCCTTGCATTCCTGAGATGCATCGCTCCTTGGACCTTCACCTTTTGTAGCTTTACTTTTCTCGACAAAAGCAGAAAGCAAAAGTGTCCAAAATGCTATGTTCCGTAGCCTTTGGCACTACAGCCTTGGGGCTGCACGTCGTTGACTCTCAGTCAAGTCCCAGTTCTGGGCTCAGTACTTCAGTCAGGGTACAGAATCGCTGAAAGATAGCAAGGGAAGTGCTGTGGCCACTACTTTAGTCAGAGAAAGCATCGTTCAAATAATACAATGGGGGAGGGGTGTGCTCGGTCGCTCGGTAGGAGGGTCGTAATTGATGGGTAGGAGTCTCATAATCGACTAGTGATTGATTCACGTAATTTTCCAGCTTCACCGGTGCTATACATAACTACCGACCCCCACACTATCTCATGGTCACCTCAACTTTCATTCTGACGAAGAACTACTAATTTTTTTTGAGGATTGGTGGACGGTGGGAAGTGTGGGGTAAAGTGTAGGAAGAGGATTTCGGTTTTTCTACTGTCTCAGCCATTTTGCCCATCCTCATGCTGTACTCCAACAGTGGATCCTATTCAAGCACGATTAGCAGAACTTGAATCCTGAAAAAGTCAAGCACACTATCGTACAGAGTAAGTTCTTCAACAAGATTTAACTCATGGTCGGAGGCAAATGATAAACCCCTCACACGGAGGGAATCGAACTATATTTGGTGACTTTTGTAAGCCCCTCAATGCTTCGGACCATGCGACACCCATGCCTGTCATGGCTTTCATAAACTAAAATTTCTCACAGTTTTGGTTTCTCATTTGGTTTTTCCTGTAGAGAACAATAGAGAGAATCTGAATGCCAGCAAGGTGGCCCTTCTCCTTAACGTCACTCCAGTGCTACTTTGCGGAACCATTGGGACGCTTATCGCCAAACTTTCACCTCTTTCCACTACGACATTTGATTGTTGGTCAATCATTTGTGAACCATCACCTTTTCCTCTCTAGCCTGGCACGGCAGCTCACCATCAGTTGCTGTCTCTGAACAGAGGAACTATGACGCTATCACCACAATAAGCAAACGATGAAACTTCCGTCGTTGATCGGTCCCTTTTTGGGCACGCCATTGCGTTGTGATCATTTCCTGAAAAATACGACCCCCCCCCTAATTCCATCTTCAAGTACGATCCCCCCCTCCCCACGTTACCTCTTCCCCTAGATTTTTCCAAGCCTCCTCCTACCACTTTGTCTATTTTTTCCCAAAAAGTTTCTGGTTTTTTTACAAAATTTTGCTGTCGAGCGGGGGGGGGTCGCAGTACCTACGTACGTCCCCCAAGCACGTCCAGCACTCTGGCGCTGGTGTAGCATACTGACAATACGTACGAGGAAGGGGCGATGATAGGAGCTACGATCACCGCCCCATGAATTCATCACAAGGGCCCCATGAATTTATAAACAAACAAGAGGACTCACGACGTGACGATTAATAAACAGATGAAAGTACATTCCCGGACTTTTGATCGTAGGAGCACATTTGCTTGCAATTGGGAAGCCCTATCTAGAAGTTACACCTTTCAAACACCTGCGTGAAAGCCCCATGCATGGCGCATTGCATATGTGATGCCAATTGGCGCCCAATGGCCTATTACCTGATATGCTTGACGAAAACATGTGTTTCAGAAGCATACCAAAGTCTTCGAGCCAACTGGAGGTTTCCTGGCCTCGGAGGGGTTGATTTTTCGGTGTCGTGGGGGGTGATTACAAAATGATCACAACGGGGAATTTTTTCGAATAGTAGGTCTAGGAAGGAAATTAAAACCTTGCTGGAAAGTAGAAATCTTCAAGCTTCCGGCACAGTTCTTTTTTTTACGAAAGGTCGTGTATGAAGCTTGCCATGGACGTCCAAAGCGTAGCGACTCGCGGTTCGCAAAAATGATCACAGACGGATCACAACGATGATCACAACGGGGAAAATCTCTGGAATCGGAACGTTTTTGAAATCGCTCAATTCAGGTGATAAGAGCCAACCTAGCTCTACTCATTCCCACTTACCCCTCTCCGATAGCTTTACTTTCAACGAAAATTTATGGTGTTCAATGAGGGTAAGCTTTTCAAGTGTTTGGCTTGAAATTGGGCTCCAACGTAAAATAGAGCGTGCTACCAATGCTTGTATGAGCGCGCTTGACCGCGAACAGCCAAAATTCAAAAGTAATCCATAGTTCCGGTTCCAGCTGGCCTGGTGAGTTTTTTTTTCTTATCCATTTGATTGTGAATTATTTTGATTGTTTTGTTTTTGTTGAGTTTGGTTTTGTTTTGTTGATTTGTTGTGAGGAAATTGCTCAGGATTCAATTTCTACGGTTTCATAGGTAGCTTTTGCAATGATTCTTTTCTAGATTTTGCGGATTAGTGGATTGGGATTTATCTAGACCAGATGAGGAGGGTTGGTGGACGAAGTGTCTTGAAGTTTTTTGTGAGGAAGGAGGAAAAGTTTCAGCAATATTTTTTTTTTTAGTTTTTGGCCTAGGAATAGTTGTTCGATAGTGCCTAGTTCTATTTATTGTCATCTACATCGTCCCTTTTGAGCTTCTTT